AAGCTTATACTTAGCTTCACACTTATTATTTCCAGTAGTAGAGCGCTATCATATCATCATTAAAAATCTGACGCTCTCATAAATTAGAAGAACGCATATATTTTTTTAATTACAGACAATTATTTGTTGAAATAAAAACAAATATTTTTTGCATTTTGTGTTGTTTTTTATCGACAGTTAGTTTTCTCAAGATTTTGCTGTACTCATAGATTTGTAATTACCATAATTTTTATGACATTTTTAACGAAATGATAATTTAGACTGACGGAATTTACTTTTACACGCAATAAAGTAATTAAAAAGTGAAAAAAGAGTCAAAGTTTTAGTTTTCAAGATTAATATCAGTTTAATAATCTCTGTATTTTCTTTAGACAGGTGTTTAATAACAAACATCAGTACATAAAGCCACGTTATAGCCATATATTCAGTGTTTTGTCATCAATGCACTTCAAGTATGTATGTAATTGTCGTAAAAATTAAAATAAATAACAATCTTCACACAACTATTAAACATCATTCATAATAATAATTTTTTGAAGCAAAATGATGATTATGAAGTGAATACTTGCTCGGTATATGAGTGCAAATTTTTAACTTTGTGGCACACAGTTGCTACCAAAATTAGACGTTATAAAATTATAATTTAATCCTTATTTCACAGATTCTTATGCAAGCACAACAACTTTTAATGGTTTATGTCAGAAGTATAAAAAATTGTAGCCAGTAAATATATTTCTAAAGTTAGCATGAGGACTGCAAATAGTACTGATTCCCAAATGAATTTTTGCCCTTTTTCAGATATAAAAACAAAACAAACTGCTGCTATTGCTAGCTTTGGTGAAGCAGTGAATAAAGTTAAACATAAATAGTTAATCTTTCAAAAAAATTACCATCAAATTTGAAATCAAAGTATTAAAAACAAGCAAAAAAGCCATAAAAATAAAAACAACAAATGATCCACTGAAACAACTTAGACAATTTGATTTTTTTTTATCTAATCAAATTTCATTGTTTTTTATTTAGTAAATGCTTTTAGAATGTACAAAAAAAGTTTAGCATTTTATGCGTATTCTGTTCGCCAACTTGCATATTAATATATGATAGATATGTTAGGATTATGGAAGCATAAATTGCAATATATTTTGTATCATGTAATAAAAGTTGATAGTACAGAAAAAAGTCGAAAATAAATTACTGTACTGACTATTTTGCTTGAAATACATTTTTACAACATTCTGCAAGTGAATGTACCGATCACACAGACGATAATATTACAAATTCTGATCTATGGGAACGTAAAGTAACAATTTACTCTCTGCTCATATAAATCAAATATGTGTTATGAATAGATATGTGCAAATTTTGTTAAATGTATTATTTTTTAACTCATTGAAATAACTCCTTAGCAACTGCAGCAACACTTCTCTGATCAGTTTTCAATTAGTTACTGACTGATACACTTAATAATCATGCGTAAATTTCTCAAAATCACTTAAATTATATTTACGTAGCTGGTTGAAATAGCTTAGATCACGAGATTTAAATTAATGCTTAAACCATTCAGTCAAAAAAGTTAATAATTTTTATGCACTTGCTTAAGCCTTCAAGTCAAATGACATTTTTTTTTTGTTATTGAATAATTTAAACTGAGCAGTTCTGTAAAACAAAATAAATGGCACTGATATGAGTATAAATCTAAAAATTTTGGTAAATAAAATTGCTGTAATTTACAAATGTTATAAAAATAATTTAAAAGCGATAGAAAGTATCAAGATTGAATGATCATTTGTAAATTGAGCTTTTTTCCCTTCTTATACCTTGAGATAATTTGAAGTTATTTTTGAAATTAACTTAGAAAATGAATAAGTAATCTAAAATGAATAGAAAATTTTTAACTTCTCATCAAGTAACTGTATTAATTTTCTGTATAAAAATTCTCTATCTGAGTGACTTACATATATGCTGGAATGAAGAATAAAAATGCACATCTTATTAAAGATCTTGTTAATATATTATTTTTTTACAGCAACTTTTATTTTCAATCATTTGTGTCATTTCGATGCTTCTGCATGCATTCTTTTACTATTAACTTTGTAATACATATCTATGTGTTGCCTTAGTTTTTATATTAAAAGCAGGCAAATACTTTTAAATTAAAGGCCTAAATTTACTTCGGAAATGATACGGAAAATAATGAAAAAATTTGCATACTACTGAAAATGCAATGGGATAAATTGTTCTTGAGAAATGAAAATTTATCGCTCTAAGAAACACTGTATACTAGCATTAGATAAGAGAAAATGAATAAAGAAAGACTGAAAAAAGATGAAGAAAGAATTTATCGAATGATTGATAAATTAAAATAACTTAATAAATTATTGAAAAAGATCCCAACTGTTTACTGTCTGTTTTTTTTTTCCAATCTAATATAGAAATCTATGATAATAAAGGCATAGTTATCTTTACTTGTGCTCACACAATTTTATCTATTTAAGTTATTTTTTCTTGCATTGCTAAATGGTTGAAAATGGTAATAAATATTTGCCAAACTTACAGTTATTATGGCTTTTGGGTTGAAAAGCAGAATGTCGCCGAACGAGTAATCGTCCATTTTTTAAACCATTCTAAAAATTATAAACACTTACTAAAATTTATTTATTATTAATAAATTTAGTCAATAAATTGCAAAATTAACTTAAAAAGGATGAAATGAATAAGGTTATATTATAAATGCTAGCATTGTTTTCAATGCCGAAGACTTTAAAAAGAAATATTCGCATTTGCGTCTTTTTTTTTAAAAAGTAATGCTTTCACATCTTAAAATAAAATAATCAAAGATGCAACAAATATTTTGAAAAAAAAAGGAAGATAAAGTTTATTGCTGAAAAGAATTGTGCATAAAAGATGCTAACGCGAAATGAGATCATAAAAAAAAAATTGATTGAGCAATTAAGATTCAGATTCTGATTTCAAAAAGTAAACAGAATAGCAATGCGAAATAGAATAACAATGTAACCAAAAAAAATTTTTGAAAGATTGAGAAACATTGGTCAAAAAATTGTTTTACACAGGCATTTTTTTAAATCGTTACATTTGTCAAAATTTAGACAAGCAACCCTTTTTACGTAGTGAAAGCGGCGTAAATGCGTTACGAGAAAGAATGATAATAAAATTAGCATTCAAAACAAATGATAAATGAAACGTTAAAGAAATGTTTAGCAAAAATTATTTGAAGCAAACAATAAGTAAAAATGCTTAAATAATAATAGAAAATATTAAATAAAAGTCTTTAAGAAAAAGCTATTGAGCAAAAACAATTTATTGTTCGCATGGAAACTTTGATTGTTTCAGAATCTTTTTTGAGCTCATATTTTGCTTCAACGATTTGAAGACTTTTTCTAAAAAAACTGTTCTCTTTATTCTAATAAATTCAAATGTCATATGAGAGTATAAAAAATTATCTCACAAAATTTGCATTTGTCAGTTGATTTATATGAGCATAGCAAACCATTTCTTAATTTTTTCAATAAAATTGCCTCGTCTCGTTCATGAAAAGATTCATTGGTATCAAATTTTTTGCATACTTTATTGAGTTTAGCAACTTGTAAAATCTATAATTAGCAGTATGATTAATTACGCAGGGGCTAATTATTCTTCTACATTTATTTCAATTTCATACTTATAGTAAGTTTTCATTTTTTATTCCATTATAGTAGTAGTAGCATTATGCATAAGAGAAAACAAAGTTTGTTCCCCTGATACCTTTATAGGACTTAAGTAAAAAGTTCCAAATTAATAAAAAGTTTGCTTCAGAATAAGTTCCTAAATCAAAATTTATTAAAAGTATCAAACAAAATTTCATTAAATTTTTTTTCTGTTTGCTTATTTGGTTTCTGGCATTTTTCAATTATGTTTAATCAGATTAAATGCACTATTTTATTGTCTTTGTATAAATTAATATTGGAAAATAATACTTAAAATAAAAACTTGAAAAAAATCATTTCATTGATTGATTGCTTTAAAATAATTTTGCATCGAGTAATATCAGCAACAAAATCATGATATTAGTATGAAAACAAAGAAAGCAATCGGTGCAAAATGTAATCTTTGAAAAGTTTGCAAGTTTTGTGAAAACTTGAAGATTTGTGAATAACATGGACTTCTTTCTTGCTATGCTTCGCAAAGAGATTTTTCAAGGGAAAAAAGAACGCAAAAAGTCAGATATTAGGACATCAATACTAGCTAGTTAAGCTAACTGCCACAAACAATTCTGCTGGATTTACAATTCCCACAAACATTAAAATTGGATTTTTTGTCACTGCTGCTTTTTTTCATTCCCACTAAAAAATTATTGCAATCAAACGTCAAGTGTAATAAAACAAGATGATATATTTAAGAGATGCCTTTGGAAAATTAAAAAATCATATTAAATTTGAAATAACAAAACTAACATATCTACTTCTTTGACCTAATGTTGAATTGATATATCGTGAGTTTGTCGGAGGTCGGCTGAAATTACAACATAGTTGTAAATAATTTTGCATTTTTTTTGGTACTTACCCTTTAATTTTTTTTCTGTTATTAAACAAATTTGGTAAATATATGTAATTTAATAGCTTTTATAAATTAAAACAATTGAGAAATTTGTAACCTTTGTGCAGTTTTTTTCCAATTTTTTTTGGTATTTCAAGATGAATTAGTAGCAAAATTATTAAAATATAATGAATAGCACTGCAATAATATTTGTATCATAATTATTAATTTGAAAAAATACTGCTAATATTTTTACTACCAAAAGCTATACTTATTAACGAGATATCGATTGCTTAGATAAAAAATTGAAAATCGGTAATTGATTATAATGTTTAGCACAAACTAATTAAATTATTTTCCAAGTAAAGAAACTGAAATGCATACATTTTAGTTTGCTTACTTCTTCGGTTCAAAGCATTGGAACTGAAGAAATTTTGGTACCTACAATCAGTCGTAAGACGAACAACTTACAGAGACTGTTTGAGAGTGTTGCCTACTGCTGCTTCTAATTTTTCCAAACATGCAAAAGTCCGTGACGCGTCAACATTGGAATTATCAAAATTCAATTCTACAAAATCATAGTATTTAATTGAATATGAGCTGTAAATTATAACTCTTAATTTGGTATCAACTTACTTCACTACACACATAAATAAACACTGTTATATCGATAGTTTTTGGTCCAAATTTTACTTTTACTTATCAATTTTTTGCTATTTAGTTACCAAACTGATAATCAACAGCTTTCTTAGTGAATTTTTTAATCTCATTTAAATTTTTAGCTGATTCTTTGCCAAAAAATTTGACTTATTTATTTTTATTTATTAAAACACTCTAATTTATTGAAACATTACACTACAAAAATATATTATTTAGATTAGAGGAAATTATTCATAACTATTTGAGCTACCTTCTCCTATAATACGATAAATTTAATGCAGCCTAAATAAATTTTTGCAAAGGTTTATGTTTTTTAGCTTCTATTTTTCATCACGATCTTGACGAAAAATAACATCTCGATGACATATTCAAAGTAGAAAATTTTAACACTTTAATTTCTTAAATTTATAAATTTTTAACTAATTTTTTTTTGCACACAAAATTCTGCTGTTAGTCGGGTAGAGATTTTTCATAGTAAGTTATAGTGGATAAATTATCTTCAGTTCTTCAAGTCGTTTTTGAACGATAGTGAAATGCTGATAAAAAAGTAGCAATAAACCTTTCACACTGTGAATGAGTTGACTTGCAGGAAGTAAAACGTGAGTTGTTTTGAAGGCAGGATAACGTACTAACAGGTCACGAACCGTTTGTGATACCATCGAAAGTGCCGAGTGAACCGATACGCACATTGTATCACCATCTAATTCATCTCTTATTAAATTTTTTTAAAATTTGTAGCCTTACTGATAAACTGTTACTAAAAAGATTTTTCAAAAGTTAAATACTAAACATTATTGTATCAGGCAGTACTTACGTGAAAAGACACGTGAATCGTTTGGGAATAACTGAACATAACTGCAGTGCAGTTCAAAAATTTCTGTGTAAGATCGTATTTATTTTAGAAAAATGCTTTATTTTAATTTAGTTCAACAAATTTTGATTGAAATGCCTGAGGAAAAATTCATTTTACAGGTTGAACTCAAATATTGCTATAGAAATTAATTGAATTATAAGCTGCTGAATGTATCAAATAAATAAATTCAAAGTATCTTTAAATGAATTATACTGAAAAGAACCATTTTGCAATGCATTAAATACTAAAGCATAAGAAAAGTTATCAGAAGTAACGACTTTTTGTTGAATAAAATTTTAATACTGTAGTCTTGAATGAAGAATAATAAAAGTGTACCTTTGACATTTTCTGACGGGTCAAGACATCGACGTAACTGTTCTGCATGGTTAGCGAATAATTCAATATCATTTACCAATGAATCACTTAACTGCAAAAGATTTTAATTTCCATTTAATTGAACTTTTGATGTCAATAAAATGAATTTTTAATTGAATATTTAAGTGGACAGTAAAAGGAAATTATGGTATGAAAAGACGTTACTAGTTGATGCACTTTTAATCCTTATTGCTGACTTGGTAATTTTAACTGAAATGCAGCAATACATTTGATTTTTAATTTGTTTTTTGTGCTAATAGCTTTTAATATTAAAAAAATGTTGCTAATTTTGATGATAAATTTTTTACAGTAACAATACGAGGGATAAAAATAGGCTCACAAAATAATCATCATCATCATTTTGATTGTAAGAATAGTCATGCTTAGAATAAAGTGATCCAGATGACATTCTGTCACCGCGATTAATTGTCTCGTAAACACTGCACTTCCTGTGATTGAATTTTCCTGAAAATTACTTACCATAAAAACGTTTAAAAAATACTTTTGAAACAAAAGCATAATCTAATACAATGAATACATTAGTAAAAAAGTATGCAAATTATTAAAAGTTAATGTAAAGTCACTTTCTTTAACTGCTTATTATATATACTATGAGTGACAATTTTAAAAATATTTGCAAGTATCTCAGCTTTATATATGATTAACTCATTTTCTTTTCCTTTTCTCACCAAATATAGCATTGAAAATTTATTTAAGCTTAATCTGCATGGTTGTTCTTTGTATTATAATTTAATTAGAGGAATTACAAGCAAAAACTGAGAAGTCAGTTTATTAATGATGCAATTTTTGAATAATGAGTTTAGAACATTATAAATGGCAAACTTGGATTTAATAAAAAAACAATTCATTCTAAAAGTTTAAAAAGTGTGTAAATCAAAATGATAAATTGTTGTCAGTTGTTTTTAAAAAGCAAAATTTCAAAATATGAAGGATTTACAATTCAGTGCTAAATTGTCGTCATAAAAATTTATTATGTATAACGATGAGAAGTGATTAGAAAATTAAGAGATTTATCAAATTTACTGTACTTGTACAAGCTAAAAACGACTAGTTCAAGGATAGAAGTGATAAAATCAGTATTGAGTAAAGTAGAGTATTAAAGTAAGGCTTTTTTGATTTTGCACTGATGAGCAAGGAATGAAAATGATTGGTAATGTTTTTTGTTCTTGATTTCACATAATTTGAGCATTATTATGAGGAAAAATTCAAAAGTAATACCAGTTTTACTGAAAATGGAATAATACACACGATTTTATCGCACTTTTAATAATACTTTCGCAAAATATAACTTACAATATAAATATTTCATATTTAAATTATCGTCTCATTAAAAAATGCCAATTATGATTGAAATGAAAATCTGTTTAAAACTATTTAAAATATTTGAATGAAATTAAAGAAAAAATATGCAAAATAGGGTAAATTTCAAATTTTGGATAATGTTAATGTCGTTTTTGAAAATAATGAAGTAGTAATAATGATAACAATGACTATGTTGTTATCATTTTTAGTTATGGCACTTATTAATAATACTCATAGTTATGATAATGAGTAGAAATGGAAAAGTATGTTTCAAAAGTGTCTGATAAAAGTGATTGAAACAAGGAAATAGGTGATATGAGCAACAAGTTTACTGCATATTATCAAAGGAAAGGAACCTGATCGAAAGTAATGCAAACAGGTTAATTAATGAACAGGTAGATGATCTCACACTGGCAGATAGTTACAATGGTATAATTCACAGCTCCCAATTTTGCAAGCAATTACAATTATTCAAATTAAAGATTAATTTGAGCAAGGTCAACGTGACCGCTAAATGGTGCTTCAGCGCAACATTTCTCAAAGTAGTATTTTGCAAGTTGCAAAGTTAACTGTAGGGTCACATTCATCATAACTTTTTTTTCTTTCATTACTAATAAATGAAAAATTATGAACCAAGTGCGCTAAATGATTGCTCGCTGTTATCATATTTATGTTATTTGCTTATTTCATTTCAATTTGTATTATATTTTAAAAAAACATTTGAAATCACATCAAAATTTCAATTTTAAACTAATTGAGCATAATATTTTGGATGAGTACAATGTAAATGGAAATGAAAATGTTGAGACTTTGGTAAGCATAAACATTGCAAAGGATTCATGGAGGTGAAGTATTAGTCATAATATGAGAGACTGCAACAACGATGCTAGATATCCAACAGTAAACAGTCTGATAAAAGTAATTAGTAATTTGACAGAAAGCCAAAAAAGGAAAGGACAAGATATGCGTATAATAAGAAAAAAATTCAACAGTGACGACTATCTATAACTGATACAAAAGTAATGAAAAAATATTTATAAAAAGCTGAAGTACTGATAAAAAGTTTAGGATAGAAATCGGTCGAGAAATGTTAAACAGACATGATCAAAGTTGTCCACACCTTCTACTTCTCTCACTTGATTACAAATTGTAAAAATTCCAAATTTCTTTTAAAATTTGTAAAATTTTAAGAAAAGAAACCAGTCAAAATGAAAATAGCAAGAGTAGAACTAATCATTATACCTCCTTTTCTTTACATAGTTTGCCTGGGTAAAAGATTGAAATTGTTACAATCTTATCATACAGGTATCCTGCGAATTACATAAATATTTAATGTAATTAATTCAAATAATTTTTTGTAACGTCGGAAAAAATCTCTTGGTGTCTTCTTTGTATTAATTAATAAAATAAATTTTTTATTAATAATAATAATAATAATAATAATATATTGCAAAAAGTTTGGCATCAAACATTTAATGATGCCTTATGCAGAAAAAAAGAAAAAGTAAATGATCATGAAAAATTTTTTTACTTTAACTTCGATGTCTTACGTGAGTGTTTATCAATTTTACATTGCATTAATCTGCGTCTTATTTTTTCCAAGATACGTGATGTAAAAAGTAGCTATATAAAGCGAAAAAAAAGATGAAAAAACATGTATGCATGTCTGTGTATTTACTGCTTGAATTAGATTGTGTATCAAAGAAACCTGTACTCGAAATAGTAAAGTTAAATGTGGCATGGCTTGCACACCAGTTTAAGAATTAAATTTTCTGGTAAAACAGAAAAATCTTTTTTGTCTATTCACGTTTCCTCCCGAATTTTAAACACTTTTGTAATTTCAAAAATTTTTGTTTAAATTTTTTCTTCTCAAAATTTTCAAAT